TCCCAAATAACTTGATTTCCCAGCACTTTATTAGATTATGCAGTTGATGCTGTTGAACCAGAATCATGATTTAGTAAAAGAAGTGTACTTTCCTAATTTTTATCAGGGTATAACTTGTTAGGGGACCCAGCAAGACTGGGGTTTTTCTCTACAGGTGCATCACTGCTGGGTACTGATTCAAGAAGTATTCATCATAGCGAACAGGTTTGGGCACACCTTTATATATGAAGAGTAAACACACTTGGCTTTAGGTCTGACCCATGAAACAATAAAGGAATGGTATATTACATATTAACTAATTCTTCATTCCCAATTGGTTGAAGTTACCTGTGGAATTTTAGTGATCTAATTTAAAAGGAAAATAGTCCCTTGCATGCTCCATAGATATAAATTCCTTTAGCAAAGCCTAATGAGATTGATGATTATTTTGGAGGCCAGGAAAAAGCCATACTATATGGTGCTCAATGAAGATACTTGTACTTTTAGTTTTTACTCGAGAGGTGTTCAGGCATATTATATAATGATGGGTCTAGGTAGATTCATGGCAGAAATAGCTAAGATGTTTAGAATTTATTTTTATTCCTGTAACAGCAAGAGCCTATACAGATAATTATCCTGCTTGAAAATACATGAATACTGTCACCTCTTAACATCTGTCCTTAAAATGGTATCATTTATGTTACTAGTGGCAAACATAAAATAAGATCAGTATCCCTCTGAGAGCTCACTAAATAGAATGTACTTAAAATCTTTTTAAATAATATAAACAGGTTAATATAATGCCAGGATTTGTTACACAATACACTCACAAGGCGTATTTGAGGTTACAACTTTTAGCCTTAACCTGAGTGTCTAGACTGCTGTTACTGAGCATGGTGATCTGGAATCTGTCAGAAATAGGGAACCAGATTATTGGGCAAGGGCCGAGTCTTGTATTTCTTTCTTAAAACTGGGACATGGGGATAGAGGGTTTAGGGTTTTTCCAAACAGATGGGTAAGGAATATATGATTCATAAAAATGAAATAATAATTATGTAAATTAGTTATTATGAGGCTGGTGAGAAATAGGTATTAGCTACTTTCCCTGCCTGCTCTTTTCTCTGGAGTTTTAAAAGGTCATTGGTATCTCTTTTCCTCTCTTTTTTTTTTCAAAAGAGTTCAGCCTGGTCATTGCTATCATCTGTATAACGGTCTTAGAGCAAGTCTTCTAGATGACTATCAACTGCCAGAAATTTTGAGAACTCCTTTGG